GTTCCAAAGGCTTTAAGGTTGAAATAGCGCCGGATGTCCTCAGGGGTCACATCCAGCAAGTTCGTCTCGGTGAAGTTGGGGTCGTTGAGCTCGTCGGTGCATCCCGAGAACTCCATGAAGCGCTTGAGCTCCTTCTGGTATACTTTGTTTGCTCGATCCATTTGCGGTGTGATTTGTGTGATATTGAATAGGAATGATTGGGCAGTTTTATCACACTGTGAATCACACTTCAGTGTGATAAAAACCCCACCGGAGGATCCCAGCAGAAATTGACCTCATTTTCAGCCAATCATTTCCAAATCAATGCTATGTGCGAGACCTGTTTTGGCAAATATATGAAAATACAACGTTGGTGTGATTTTGTCAATAACATGTGGATATTTATCAAGAATTTTCCTTGCCGAGCATTACCCGAATAGAAAATCGATGTGAAAAATTGAAAATGAAAACAAAATCAAGGTTGCCACCAACAATGCTGACACCCAACTTGATCCGTTCAAGGGCTTCCTCAGCTCCTCCGTACCGCGATGGACGCCCGAGCCGCGCGTCAATAGAGCTGCTGCAGTCCGCTTGACTGGTATCGCTTCCAGTTCCAGGGGGTCCCGAGCGGTCTGGACAACCCTCGCTGACGGGACACTGGACGGTCAGCAATCGATACCGTGCCCGACGTCGTTCGGAGCTCACACGCACGACCAAAATGAAAATGGAATTTTATTTGCCGACTACTTTCATCGAGCTCACGAGGCGGGATGGACCCGAACGGTCGACTCTCCAGACGGAGTTTCGGTTTACGGCATTCAAGACGTCTCTCCTTGGGTCGTTGGAGTTGCTATACTCCTTGCCACCGCTCAACCAAATTGTTGGCTGGTCCTTATCCGTGAAGACGACAACCCAGTAATGGTGCGAGTAATTCAGGACAATTGGTGACGCAGGGGACCATTTCAGCTCGGCTTTCTTTTGGGACACGGTAATGGGGACGCGGCCACGAAGGTCGGATTTACCGCAGTTCGGCTCATCTACAAGTCCACCATGAGACACCAATTGCGATACCCCCCTCAAAGCAGTTTCGCACCGTTGACAGAAGAGCAGATGCCAACTTGCAGCACCGTGCCAGGGGCCGCGTAGGACGTGTCCATCGTAAAGATGACATGTTCGACGGTGAGCCCCTCTGGGTCGGCCCCGATACGAACGTTGCGGAATCGCGTGGCAACGCCGTCATTTTGCGTGACGAGGAGTCCACCGTTCGCGTCGCTGAGCTTGAGGTTGTCAAACGCGACTTGGGATGCGACGGCGACGTGGATGAGACCGGCAAGAAATTTCATGGCAATGGAGGACGCGGAAAATGTTCAAATGACGGAGGGGGGCCACCACCCTTGGTCCACGGCTGGGACAACGATGTGCAATCGTCCGGCCCTGGAATATCCATGTGCGGCACGCTTCGAAAATCACATCTCTTGTTCGAAGCATGTCGCACCGACACATGGATATTCCAGGGCCGTGCGATTCCTTGTTGTATAATGCCTCGTCGAGGTCGAGAGGCGTACTTGCTGCATTTCCCGACGAGAGAGGAATAGATTGGACGCACGAGTGGGGCTCGCTCCTCCCCAAGAACTGCAAACGAAATGATACACACGGCCTCCATCCACTTTGCTCCACCGTGCACAATTGGCTGGGCGGATGCTCTGTCGTCGCTCGCTGTAGTGAGGTACACCGTTCTTAAAAGAGGGCTTATATACAAAGGTATGGCCGAACATTTTGCGTTTTGGACGAACTGGAAGTAAATACATGTGGAAATGGCTCCCTCACACTCCCACGAGTTGCTGATGTAAGTGGTTCAGAACTGTTCTTGTTCCTTGTGGGCCACCGAGGTTGTTGCCGGCAACGCTGGAGAGGGGCTGAAGGGACAATAACGAGTGTCCCAGATAAAGGTTGCGCGTGCACGGTGGGGCGACGAGCACAAGGTGAAGTGCACCGCAGGCACGTGATGATATTCACTTGTTTGAACGCAGGACCCACCATTACCCGATCGCACGTCGCTCGATCCTACCGCGCAGCTTGCTTCGCGGTCGATGCGCTGCTGGCCGTCGAGTGCATGGTC